CGGCAATGCAAGAAATGCTAAAGGGACTGGTGTAAAAAGAAGAAATAAAAAACTCAGAAAGAAAACAGCCACACACAAAAAAAGAAATGGCTACAAACAAGTACCTTTCAATAATAACTTTAAATGTAAATGGACTAAATGCTCCAACCAAAAGACATCGAGTGGCTGAATGGATAAAAAACCATGACCCATACATTTGCTGTCTACAAGAGACCCACCTCAGAAGAAGGGACTCACACAGACTGAAAGTGAAGGGATGGAAAAATATCTTCCAGGCAAATGGAAAGGTAAAATAAGTAATACATAATATAGTCAACTGCCAGACATATAGAACTTTTTGTCTTAAACCTATTTCTTCCTTTTACTAAGGAAGTAATCTGTAAGATTAAAACAAAAACTTATATTCAGAGTCAATTAAATAAGATGTTGGCTTGAATGCTGCACTTCATAATACATATTTACTGAGAATGATATGCTTGCTATGTGCCAAGCACCGGGCTCAGTAGCTGACAGGCATCGTGTCATAGTAATTTTCACAACAATGCAGTATCATTTCTATCTTGATCCAACTTTCAGTTAGGAAAACAGAAGCTTAGTAACTTTCCAAGGTCTATATCAAATTTATAACATTATTTTGACTTTATAGAAAATCTACTTTGATGTAGGTTTTTGAATAAAAGCAAAAAGATTACTTCAAATGTCACATAATTTGGGTTAGGTTTGAGAGAAAGTGATTTAATAAATTTAATATTTGCAATGCTGAAACTTTTGCTCTACAAAGTCTACTCTTGAATTTTTTAAAATAAGACTTACTTTTTCACAGTTTATATATTCTGAAGAAATATTACTATTTCTTACTGGAGTGATATAATCTCACTCTAAAGAAATCCTAATAATAATACAGTATTAGTATGGAAAGGCCATTTTTTAAAATAATGTTTCTGAAAATGATGCTACTTCTACTTGAAACTCAACATACACTAAACCTGTCCAGAAAACAGGCCGATCTTTCAGATAAACAGGTCCATGCCAGAAACCTCCATCTCCTAGGCTACATGTCTGTTTTTTTAGCCTATTCATTCTTGTATAAACTCCAATTTTTATTTACATGTGTGGAAAATTAAATATGCTTAATTAATGGCTTCTGGGTAAATTTGAAAGAAAATCATCCCACTAAAGCTTAAACCACATCCTTATCAAAACTAGGATTTTATATAAATATCAAAGCAGCAAAGTAAACATAAAGAATAGAAAATGTATCTAAGCTTCTTTATGAAAATAAACTATTCCATTAATAAGTAAAATTATAACAGAAGCCTAAAATTTAGTAGATTTGGAAAATTACAAGTGCATGGGCAGTAGGAAAGCTGGGGGTATTCTAAGCTCATCAGTCAGTAATAACTTCAGTGAGCAGCAGAACAATGGCCGCCTCTGATAGTGCCCTGCATTCCTGATGTAGGCTTTTCTGTTTCAAACCATTTATTTACATTCTGAGAATAGACAGCCTGTAAGAAATGATGCGGCAAGAGAGCAAGTGTGGCCTTGCTAACACAAGCACCTTATGTAAATTCTCCTCCACTGGAGCGTCTGCCCCTGGTGGTCAGCATGCATCATAGCGACCGGTCATTCTGCCAGTCATTCTGCTGTTCGGTCGATTTGCATATTAGGGTTTTATTACATAGGATTATATCTAGATAATACTATGGTTTTAAAAATAGTTACTTAAAAAATAAAATGTTTCTAAGTGTACTCCCATAATACCTAATTTCATTATTCATGACTAGAGGCCCAGTGCATGACATTCATGCACTGGGGAGAGGGGATGGGGGGGGGGGGGTTCCTCAGCCAGGCCTGTGCCCTCTTGCAGTCCGGTACCCCTCAGGGGATGTCCACCTGCCGGCTTAGGGGAGCGGGCCTTAGCACTGCCATGGAGGCAGGAGAGGCTCCCGCCACCACCGCTGGGCTCGCCAGCTGTGAGCCTGGCTTCTGGCTGAGAGGCATTCCCCCTGTTGAGTGTCTACCCCCTGGTGGTCAGTGCGTCATAGTGACCGGTCATTCCACCATTTGGTCAATTTGCATATTAGGATTTTATTATATAGGATTAGAAAATACTTATAATACTGGGAAGTTTTGTAGAAATTAGGATAACTATATCTTGAAGCGGACTTAACTGGAAATGTAGGTCCACCTTAGGACAAAAGCTACCTCAATAGGAGTTTCTGACATTATTACTGCCTTAAAGTGATGCCACTACTACTCCAAATTAAATAAGGTGGGCCCTTGCTGGTTTGGCTCAGTGGACACAGTGTGGACCTGCGGACTGAAGGGTACCGAGCTTGATTCCAGTCAAGGGCACGGACCTCAGTTGCAGGCTCCTCCCCGTCTCGTGTGGTCAGGCGTGTGTAGGAGGCAACCAATCAATGTGTTTCTCTCACATCAATAGTTCTCTCTGTCTTTCCCTCTCCTAAAAATCAATGGAAAAATATCCTTGGGTGAGGAAAAAAAAAAAGGTGGAATTTTTAAATCCCAAGTTTTTGGACCTAGGTTGTAACTGTCTGCTGCCTCTTCTTTGGTGGTATTTTCATATGACACAATGAGTTCAAGTAAACAACTCAAACGGGGAAATCTGAAGAAAAGTTTTCTACATAGATAAGGTAAAGTCAAAGTATTTCTCAGGTATTCCTTAAAGTTAACACCACCCACCTTTTACTTTATTAACCTATTATTTCTTCCCTCTTGGGGATAAAGAGTAATCCAAAGCCCAACTTTGGTCCTCCCTGGGTTCCTAAAGAAGGAAGATTATAAAGTAAAAGAAAATAAAAGACTTAAGGAAAATGAAGCAGAGAAGCTGAGTGCCTAGAATTAGGTCATCTGACCTTCATTTCAGTGCATTTCAGTGACCTTTTTGGGGGGTTCAGGTTTACCTTCTTTGACTCTGTTAAAATAAATTATACCGATCTACTGGCATCCTCCTGTGTTCTGTTATCCTGACTTCTTTCTATGCAACTGAATGAAATGGTTTTCCCAGCCATTTCCCCCTGGATCATGTCATGCATTTCTTTCACATTCCTAGAAAACCCTGGTCTGCTAGGACAAGCTGAGATCTCCATCCCCTTTGCCTCTTCAAGAATTTACAATACAAATTTCCAAGTTAAAAATGAATGCTATCTGGGCCCAACAGTCTGTCCTATAGTACAAACTTTAAAATACTCAGTATCTTACATTTAAAACAGGAACAACTACCAGGTTGTCAGGCAAAGACTGGAAAACATGTTATTCCCATGGCCTAGAGAAGTTGAGATGAGACAACTATCCAAAAAGTAATTTCACTTTTAACAAAAACCCTCAGGTAAGTGTTCTCTTAGAGGCTTATGAGACTGAAGCCACAATATATTCATCAAGTATGCACCAAAGTATGAAAAATGAATAACATTTACATGAACTACTTAGATAAAATATGGTGTATGTTAAGAAAGAAACTAAATTTGGAAGAGGAAACATAGATAATAAAAAACGAAAAAATTAATTAATGACTGACCAGAGGTAAATTCTAAGGGAGAAATGCAAATTATTTTGTGTAGACATGAGTTATATGGAATCCACTTTAGGATTTTACTAAACAAAACGGAAAATATGCACCTTTTACATCAGTGTTTCTCATTAATTATGTTTGATTACCAATTTCAGAAATAATCGATTTTGGCTAGCATGGATGTTGTAACTCTGAATAACGATCTTTGTAGAAGCCACAGAACTTTCTACCCTCTTATTTGGGACTCCAAATCTTTTAGGGGAAGTAGCAGAGTTAAAGTATGAACTGCATTCTTAGCTATAAAAGTCTTATAATGTTGTAGGTAGACCTTTGTTAAGAATCCATTTATCTGTAGTAGTTATACTACTAAAAGCATGCACTTACCATGTGCTAAATGAATTACTTTAGTCCATCATGACAATCTTATAATTATTATTATCATTCCCAAGTTACACATGGGAAAACTAAGGGAAGTGAGGTTATATTTACTTACTAACATAATTGGCAGCAGGCAGAGCTAGGATTCACACATAGCTCTGCTTTCACAGCTTGGACCCTCAAACCTCTAAGCCAGTGGTTCTCAACCTCGGCTGCACATTAGAATCACCTGGGAATCTTTTTAAAATGCTGATTTCTGGGCCTCATCCTCCAGAAATTCTGTTTCTTTGTTATGGGGTGGGACCACAACATTAGTAACAAAGAAAGAATTTCCGGAGGATGAGGCCCAGAAATCAGGATTTTAAAAAGATTCCCAGGTGATTCTAATGTGCAGCCAAGGTTGAGAACCACTGCTCTAAGCCATACCAGCAAATCAAATTGTAGACAAGGCTAATCATACCTAGTCTGAGTTGCATCTAGGAGTTTTGTTAATTAAACAATGAAAACAGGGGAAAAGCATTAGGAGTCTTAAATGACCAGTGTTTTGCAATTCAGTAGCCGACACATAGCTGGCACTTAAGCAGATTGCAGGGACCCTTGGAGATCCCTTAGTGTAGTGTACTTCATTCCATTTAAGGAGGAACAGAGCCCAGTGATGTTGAAAACTTTACCAAATCATTCAGTTTGTTAGAACCTATCTCCCTTCACATTTCTATGCAGTGTTTTTTCCACTGTAATGTATGCAGTAATCAGCTAGTTACAAGAATTTCTGCATTTCCAAAAACAATTTGAACACTAGAACGCTGGAGCTGGAACTGGAACTCTGTTGAAGAGAATATATCTTGAAATAAGTTAAAATGCAACTTAGAAATCTTTTAGTTGCATATGATGTTACTTTAAAATATTCCAACCAGGGTGATTTTTCAACCAAAATCATCCTATAAGAAAGATTATTTAAAAATTTTAATTTGAAAGTCATTTTTAAAGCCTAGGCTTTATTAATAGCCAGATAATTAGTATAATAATTAGCTACTTAATTATATTGCAGAACTCTAAAATAATTAAATAATCGGGAGGGAAGCAATTTTACCTTACTAAATTTTGCTGCATATTTTCGACCTTCATTAAAATTTGGACCCCAGTCTGACAGCGAATGTAGGCTTTCAATCTGAAATAAAAATGCCACATTAAAAAAGCAATTTTTAATATATTTCAAGCTAGTGTCATAGAAGAGCATTTATGAATAGCTAGCAATTTTTAAAATTTATCTATACAAGCATAGAAAAAAGGTTAAATGCATTTTCTAACCAAGGATCTGAATTTTTGAAAGGTACCTTTCTCACCTTGGCTGGTGTTGCTCAGTAGTTAGAGTCGGCCCACGCACCAAAGGGTTGTGGGTCCGATTCCTGGTCAGGGACACATTACCTGGATTGCAGGTTTGAATCCCAGTTCTAGTTGGGGTGCAGTGCATATGGAAGTCAACCAATCGAATTATTATTTCTCTCTCTCTCTCTCTCTCTCTCCCTCTCCCCTCTCCTGCCCCGCCCCCCACCTTCCACTCTCTCTGAAAAAAAAAAAAATCAATGGAAAAAATATCCTGAGGTGAGGATTAACAACAACAACAAAATTACCTTTTATTCCTTTCTGTATAATTAAAGAACTTAAATTAAAAATAACTATTTCAGTAATTAATCTTGCTATTTAACTTCTTTAATGTATGCAATTAAGTGGCAAGTATTTTGTGTTATTACCAGATATATGAACAATAATAACAACTGGATTCTCAGTAATTAGAATGAAACAACTATTATACCTGTCCCAAGACACTGTTTGATATGTGACATGGATCTGATTCAGTCTTGGGCTCTACCTTTTATCAAAAGTACATGCTGAGATTTAACTAGAACTGAATCAGACATTTCAGAATCCACTCAGTATAAACTTTAAACACCAAGTTACTGGAGCCAAACCAAGCATTCATATCCCAAGCAGGTACCATCTGGTGAAAAGAAAGTCAACTGGGTTCCTGCCTAGGAACACTAATAACAAGCATTCTAATAATAGTTCCCTTTTTAAAGCACTGCTTAATATGGGCTAAGCCTTGTAGTAGGAACTTATATATGCTATTTTTTAAGCTTCATAAGAATCCTATCTAGTATATTATCATCAATCTCATATTAATAATGGAAAAAATTAAGGCCCAGAAGTGAAGTAACTTACCCCTGATCACATAGCTTATAAGGAACTGAGCTAGTTATTCTAACCAGACCTTCATTACTGATTCTTTCCACTATGCTATGTTAATTATTTTTGTCCATGTTGTATTTTTGGACAGGAGACAGAGTATATCTTACTTAGTTTTATGAAGAGTTGGCTGAAACAGGATTTCCTGCCTGTAATAGTTACTTGGAAACTCCTAATTTTCAGTTTTGGGTTCAACCTGAAAGGCATTTTGGTTTAAGGGTTAAGAGTGTAGACACTGACTCCAGACTGCCTGGGTTTGAATCCCAGTTTCCCTGATTAGCTACATGAAGTCACTTAACCTCTTTATGGCTCAATTTTCCCTTCTGTGAAATGGCTATAATACTAGTAATCTACCTTAATGGGTTATTGTGAGGATTAAATGAATTAATACATTTATCATTATCTGCTTCAAAGAGTCTGGAACACAGTACAGAGTAAATACAGACTACTGTTATAACTATCCAAAAGCAGCATCTCTGACTGACAAATCCTTGAGTAAACACCAAGGAAATGGAGCAGAAAGTAAATGGCACTGACATATCACATAAAGTCATGACTTCCCATATTAAATATGCACATAACAAATATCTCGACATTTTAAATAATTCAGAAAGTGAAAAGATTTTAAAAACATACCTTTGACGAATTACAGGATCAGACTTTTCTGGGTCAATGTAAGTTGCTAAGATTTCATTAATAGTTTTATCGTCGGGTACTCTTTGCAACAAAGAAAACAAAAACAAACTTATTATTTATAATTTTCTACTAAAGGTGTTAACTTAGAATTACTAAATCTTATAGTGTTTTTGTTTAAGTAATTGAACACAGACCTTTTATTTTACTCTTGGCAAAATATAATGGCTTGTTAAGCATAAATTACTTAGAAAAATAGCTTTAGAAGATTTCTTGGACACACATAACAAAGTCTTAAAAAACATTATTTTGAGAGGATCCCTATAAATTAATCACAAAAATATGAAGCCTCTTTTAACACGCACCTATGCTCAAAGATGAAAAGGAAGAAGTCAGGATGAAATACATTTGAAAGTTGTAGAAATAAAAAACCTGAAAAAAGGTTTCAGATGATGCTAATTTCAGTGCATGTTCAAGTTTATTCATAATAAATCATAAGACCAGGTTAAAAATTGGATACTGCTTTTTCTGGAAACAAAGCATTTTAGGTTTCCCAACTTTTCTACATGTATTGTTCTAACTATAAAGCTATAGAAACAAAACTAAGACAATGTTTTGAACTAGTAACTAAAAGTTGCAAGGCAACATTTAAAATGTAAAATGCGTAAAATGGCAAATATGTAACTTTTCTCAATCATTTACACATATTCTTATATACTATTTTGCTAAATAGCCCTATCTGAAAAATTTAAGTCTTTTCACTGTCTCTCATTTGGTATGCACTTCAAATAAAGTTTTTCAACTAAAATCTATATGACAATGACAAGAAGGGGCACTATCTATTATATTTAGATATATGCTAAATATATTAATTAAAAAGCAACTTTAAAATTTTCATAACTCAAGGAATCAAATTGTATACAATCATTAAAACTTTTAAATGATACTTGAAAATGTTCACAATATGGAAAAAAGGATAAAAACTACTTATGTAACTTAATTTCAATTATGAGTATATGTACGTACATTTCTAAAATAATATATTTGCTGCAGACACACATTACTAATAGTAGTAATCCCTGCTGATGTTTGCATTTCATTGTATCAATACACCACAACTTAGTTATCCACTCTACCACTAACACACATTTATTGACATCACATTTAAGTTAACAAGTTCTTAATAGACAGTGGTGATACTATACCTTTTTTCTATGTACACAGCTTGACTCTGAGGAAATTGGAGCTTCACATGCCAACAAAACTGTTGTTTTCTAAGAGAGAAAATAATCACGTGAGGCTCAAGATAGTCAATAAAAGTATGAACACAAATCAAACTTCCTAAATTTTTTGTTTTCAGAGAATGATTCTAAAAGTATTCTTAGATTTTAACATGTATTTTCTACTAAGAGTTATTACTCTTTTCTAGGATTCTTAGAGGCTATGCTTTTCAAGCAATATACTTTGAAGAGTTTTTAAGGAGAAAAAAAATGAAGTGAAACAGTTCTGAATTCCAAAGACTTCACATTCCCGAATTAGAAGGCAATTTCTCATAAATCAGGGGCATTTGAGATCAGCGTGCTACTACTTAAAGTTTACAAATAAAATTTCCTCATGGCTAAATACAATGAGCTGATGTCTCTGCCTGACTAGTCTGGAAATTAGGTGAATGAAGTATTGTCTGGTTGAGACCAGCTGGCCGCAGATACACTTATGAGCCATGAGTATGTGCATTCAGTAGCAAAACAGCAGACAAGTCGGTTGCTAAGCAGAATGCACTCTAGGCTAGAGTCCCTTTGCTTTCAAGTCTAAACTTTGATACAGGATCGACAGTAATAAATAAATGTCTGATTTTAGAAAAATGACCATATGTTCTATTGAACATATCTAAATTTGGTGACACTAAACACCATTCCTTTAAAAAAAAATATTTAACACTGCTCAAAACATTAATCCATCACAGAAATTTAAATATCTTCACTACATGATGGCTTTACACATTTTTTTCCTTGCTTAGAAGAAATTTCTAACAACCCACTTACCAGTTAATGGCCGGCAACATGCCAAAGCAATGGTCAGCATCTTCTACAAATCTATGCCTTAGCCACATGGCCCCCAAATCTAAAATAATTTTCCTTTAATATAATTTAGGAGAGTATCTCCAAAAATTTATATGATTTAGGTCAGGGGTAGGGAACCTTTTTTCTGCCAAGGGCCATTTGGATATTTATAACATCATTCATACCCCATACAAAATTATCAACTTAAAAATGAGCCTGCTATAATTGGTTAAACATTTAATTAACTCACCCCTAATGCGTTGCCAAGGCCAGACCGAATGATTTTGTAGGCCTTATATAGCCCGCAGGCTGAAAGTTCCCCACCCCTGATTAGTCAAACTTTTTCAAAAGACAATGACTATAAAATCAAGTACAAATCCTTCTACTAGGGTAATTTATCACAGATCTGTTTATGGAAATTTTCTTTAATAAAAGGACAGGTTTTGGCACTAGCTAGAAAAAAATATGCTTGATTATGCTTATGTTGATAGTGCCATTTATAAGAGACAATCATTTTAATATTGTTTTGATAGAACAAAGTTGTACAGCACCCTTTACTAATTTAAAGGCCAGATGTCTAATATCTCAGAGGGAAAAAAACCCCCTATAAATTCTGAACGCAGATACAGCAGTTACTGGTTTCAAATAAATAATTCTTCCCAAAGAAAATATCTTGCAATGTTTGTTACCTGTGAAACTGGCATAGTACAATATCACCATCAAGACATTGAGAGTTACCACATTTCTCTCATCATAAGAAATAAACTGGTATTTTAATCTTAATGCATAAGAGTTTCTTTCTAAACATATTTTTTTTCCATGTTAAGTTACAGGGGGAAAAATTATGAACTTGTTATCTTATGGAATTGTAAATCATAATCACCCCAAGTATTGCTTGCTTAATTTCAAGAACCATTTACCTTTCTTAACATTCAGTAGACCCTAAATACCTTCAGAAAGTACTCAACATTCCAAAAACAAGAGAACCCCTGGAAATAATTTTGTTTGCTGCAGTTAACTACTTGTGGTTACAAGGAAGTCAGTCATTACTGTGTAATTATATCTACACTAGAGGCCCAGTGCATGAATTTGTGCATGGGTGGCGTCCCTCAGCCTGGCCAGCGATCAGGGCCAATTGGAGCCGTCTGGCCCAGTCCTGATTGGGGCCGGCTGTGGGGAGGTTGGCTGTGGGAGCGCACTGACCACCAGGGGGAAGCTCCTGCATTGAACGTCTGCCCCCTGGTGGTGAGTTTGCATCATGGCGACCGGTCATAATGGTCACTTAAGCTTTTACATATATATAAATATATAGATTAGAGGCCCGGTGCACAAAATTAGTTTACGGGGGGGGAGAAGGGTCCTTCAGCCCCGCCTGCACCCTCTCCAATCCAGAATCCCTCTCGCAATCTGGGACCGCTGGCTCCTAACCGCTCGCCTGCCTGCCTGATCAACCCTAACCACCTCTGCCTGCCGGCCTGATTGCCCCCCAACTACGGCTGCCTGTAGGCCTGACCACCCCCTAACTGCCTCTGCCTGTCCTCCTGGATGCCCCTAACTGCCCTCCCCTGCTAGCCTGGTTGCCCCTAATTGCCCTCCCCTGCTGGCCTGGTCGCCCCTAACTGCCTCTGTCTTGGCCTCCACCACCGTGGCTTTGTCTGGAAGGATGTCCGATCTAATTAGCATATTACCCTTAGATTGCTAAATTATCTATACGAATAAAAGGGTAATATGCTAATTAGACCAGACAAGGCAGAGGCGGTTAGGCGCAATCAGGCAGGTAGGCAGAGGCGGTTATGGGTGATCAGGCAGGCAGGCAGGTGAGTGGTTAGGAGCCAGCGGTCCCAGATGTGAGAGGGATGTCCAAGGGGTCCCGGATTGGAGAGGGTGTAGGCCGGGCTGAGGAACCCTCCTTCCCTCCCTGTGCATGAATTTCGTGTACCAGGCCTCTAGTGACTATTATAAAAAAATACTCAATTTACTCATACTCAAATTTAACCAATTTGCCATATTTTCTTCTTCTAAGAAATAAGAGGTTATTGATATGGCTAATGATCCTTTGTACTGTTCCTTAATTCAATTTCCTTCTTATCATCAGAGGTAACTATCTTGAGATTGGGTGTGTATTCTTGCCATATTTGGTTTTATATTATATCTATATCTATATCTATCTGTAAACAGTATAATGTTTTGTGTGACATTAACATTTATTTTAATGATTTCATACACTAAATATCCCATGCCTTGTTTTCAGTTATATTACGGATTTAGAGGTTTATTTATGAAAAATATACATTAGTTCATTATTTTTAACTGTTTGTAAAGTATCCCATTGTGTGAAGAATGTCAAATCTATTTATTCATTCTCTACTGATAGACATTATGACTACTTCCAATTTTTATCACTTGTTCTTTCATATTAAATCATAGTAAAGAAAAAATAAAAGAATAACCCAGGGATCAGGCTATCATTTACCTCAACTGATATACAGAACTAAACGTTAATTTTTTTAGCCAATAGTAGTAGTATAAGAGGCATTTAAGAACAGTAATTCAGAATCCAGTGTGTGTGTATGTGTGTGTTTTGGGGGGGCAGTAATTCAGAGTAAAAGATTTAAGTAAAGGAATGGGCAAAGAGAGGTTAAAGAGTGTTATATAGGAATTCCTAAAGTGAGCAAATTAATTATCTCTAAACTAGTTTCCAATTCTTTAGTGTTCCTGAAATTGATGTAATCTGACGTGGTCAATCAAATCTATTCCTAAGTCTCAAAGAATTAAAAGTTTGTTTCCCATAGTGCATTATTATATACTACTAGAAGCCCAGCACGCGAAATCGTGTGGCCCCCGCTCACCCACGCTGGTCTTTGGTCGTGACAGCATTAGGGCCACTGGGTTTTTATAATATAGATATGTAAAAAATACACATAACCAAAATCCTAAACTGTGAATAATGTCTTCTAAAAGAAAATACTTTGTAAAAAAAATTAAGGTTAATGCTTCAGTAAGTATCTTTGGGCATATGTAAAATTGTTTTCTATATTTTGGATTATTTTCTAAAGACAGATTCCAAAAAGCAGAATCATTAGGATAGAACAGGGTTTTTTTAACCTCGGCAGTGCTGACATTTTGGTCCAGATAATTCTTCTTGTGGAGGTGGGCAGTAGACATGATGTTTAGCAGCATCCCACCCAGGTCTCTACCCATGAGATGACACTGTCAATACCCACTCTCCCAGCTGTGACAAATAAAAATACTCCCAAATATTTCAAATGTCCACTGGGAGGCAAAATCATCACTGTTTGAGGACCACAAGACTGAAGTTTAAACATTTACTATTACTCCTAATGCATTAGGACTATTCTTTTCTAAATTTGGCAAAATGCCTGCCACTATAATAATGTCATTGTGTCCTTGCAATATTTACCAATATTCTCAATAATAAAAATACTGAAGGGGAGAGGAGAAAAAAGTGAAGGAATTAAGGAAAAAACACCACAAAAATCCTCAAACCTCAGAGACAACATTATGGTCATTACAACAGGGAAATGGGTGAGGGAGGCAGGATTGGATAAAGGGGAATAAATAGTGATGGAAACAGACATGACTTGGGTTGGTGAACACAATACCGATGATGCATTATAGAATTGTAAATTATATAGGTTTAATTGTAATATAATTTAAACCTATATAATTTTATTAACTAATGTAATCCCAATCAATTAAAAAATAATACTGTACTCCAAGGCATATGTTTAGAGTTTGATAGTTACTGGTGGCCATTCTTAAACCTAATGTTGCCTTCTGGACAACCTGACAAAGTAACAGAAATACTGAGTCCCATGAAACTGAAGTAACCATTCATGCATAGCAAGCTTTTTCTCTTCCTCCTCAAATATCAAAACACACACACACACACACACACACACACACACACACACACACATCATGCATTCTCAATGGGGATAGCAAACTGGTTCTTGGGAGGGTAAAAATAATCCTAGATATTATAATGGTTTGTGGCCTCCCAAAAGGCCACTGTATATTAACACATACACAGTATATTTGTGGTAACAAAATACCATGCAGGGCAATAGAGGGTAAATATCTGAAAAGGCCCTTTGGGAGGCAATAATGAAAAAAAAAAAAGTTGAGAAACACTTAGATGATACATGTATTATATGAGGAAAATAAATATTATTTATATGTACTTGGTTTTG